CTTTTGGACCCTCAAATTTAGAGTATCCTACTTTTACGCAATTCACAGAGTTCAACAAGCAATCAATATAAACCCTAACATTCCTCTCTCTTCAAACAACCCACATAATTGAAAACGGAATAAGAAATAAATCTTTTTTCTTTTTACATAAACCAGCCCACGCCCACAACTCCTTGCTAACACTACCCGCAATGACCCACTTCATTCCCATAATCTCATGCACGTACTCCTAAATTTTGTAGACCATAGGACAATAAAGTAACAAGTGATTGCATGATTCTTCTTCGGCCTTGCAAACATAGAAAATAAGAATTTGAAAAAGGGTGAAATGAATTGTTTTTCAATTATAATGGACAAACAAAATCACAAAATGAGAAGAATATGTTGCTATATACAAGAAACCACCTTAATGTAATATCCTAAAGTATCTCAGTTTCATTATGAGTTTATTGAAAAGGTCTTCGCTTCCTTCTTTTTTCCATAAAAAGATTTAAGTTTGTATCGTAACAACTGAGTTTCACAAAAATTATGGAACTCATTTGTAAAATTTAAGTTTTACATTTCAAGTTGTTCACAAATAAACTTTAATTCTAAACTACTTCCAAGAAGACCTAAAGTAAAACATTTTAAAAATGATAGAAGTGAAAATGCTTAGGTAGTTTAAAAGATAAGTAACTATGAACTGTAATCATATATCTTGACATACAAACAAACAACCACCAGTATAGCACTTCAACAAAAAAAGACAACCAAAAGTTCGTGAATTCCATCAATCTTTTGAAAGTCAGAAAGTTGACTCCTTTTTTAATAATAGAACTAATAGCCAAACCAACATAGCTGGCAGGTCAATCTTAGAGACCAATGATCCTGTGGTCATCTGGCTGGGTATTGAAAAAAAACTATATCTTTTCTATCTTGTATGGAAAGGGAGGATGATAAATACCACTGTTTACCTAAGTACAGTCCGAAAGGAATTTTTCTAGACCCTATTAACTGTGGATTCTCTTCATATGCTTCCTTTTATCGTTCGGCTACAACATCTTCACTTGTTTCACGAACCCCGTAGTGCATGATTTATTTGAAACATAAGATTGTACTTAAAAATAAATAAATTCCACCATTCAATTATTTCAAAATATAGGGAAAAATATGATTGACATACTTGAGAGCAAGTCTAGCTGCTAACTGCTTATCCTTCAAGCGCAGGCAATACTGCCAACTATTGCTCCAGATGTTGTGGCCACTATAACCTTGAGATGGCCCAGAAACTGAATGGATTTCTTCTCCACGCTCAATGAGAATCTGAAGTAATCGATCTGAGGCTCCATTCCGTAGAAACCGATCAGAAAGTGCAAGGGCATCCATTAGTTTCCCTTCACCAATCAATCTGAAAAGCAATAGTGATTGTAAATTCTTTTTTCGCTAAAAGAGAAAAACAAAGTAAAAGAGTAGAGAAGATAATGCAACCCCATGCAAGAAGGAAAAGAAAACAAAAAAACAAGAAAATAAGAAAAGAGAAACGAAGCACATCAACATAGATGAAGGCTGTCAATTGCTTTACAACCTAAATGAAGGCATCTACATGAAAAACCCATATTGAACCTTTGTTTCTCATTTTTAGAAGGAAAAAAAAAAGGTAATCGTACAATCAAGCCACCAAGAAAATGCCGCCAAAATACAAAAGGCATTTTACACATTGCTAAAACAAAGAAAAACATATATAAGGTTCCCTAGATCCTCCGAAAGTTAAGAGGATACAAAAGTCTCAAAACAACGGATATAGAAAAAGAAAATCCGAAAGTGGACATATTTTCAACACTAAAAATATCTATGTAATGGAAATATTTATGTATTATTTAGTTATTTAGCTTATTTAGGAACTTGTCCCAATAGACTTACTATTGATATGAGTTTATTCTTTCATATTTAACTACGATTTGTTAGAAGATTATGTATGTAATTTAGTATGTAAAGATATAATAGTTAAATAGTCGTGTTATTAATTCCAGGGTGGTTTCTTTTTCTATACTAAGAGTTACGTACATATAGAATCCTTTCGCTCCATAATATACATAACATTCTTTCTATGCACTTGTACTATCTAGGACCAAGACAAATCCTCCTAAGCAAGTACAACATAAAGGACCAAAAGATGTCATCATAAGCTTTCTTAATGTCTAGTCTAAAAAAAATCCTCTTCCCTCAAATCTAATAATGAAAGTCATTAACTCATGCAAAATAAGTGCAATATGAAGATCTGGTGATTCACCACCAAAACATGTTGGCTTTCCCAAGCACAAGAGAAAACACTACTAATTATTTTTACCGAAACCTTATCTAAGGCTTGTAGATGTAAACCACAAAGGTACAAGTCTGAAATCCTTATCCACTATGATCACCACCTTAGAGATCAAGATAGTAATATGGAACTTTGAGAAGCCATAGACTTACCAACCTCGTCACATTCTTCAAACATCTTCATGACATCTCAAACCATAAAATCCCAGCACCACTCCGAGAAAACCAAAGACAAACCATCAAGTTTAGGAACTTCATACCTATTACAACTCAACAAATTTGCATAGATCTCTACCTCAATGAAGATACTCAATCACCAAACTCTCCTAATGCCCAATCAAAGCGAACTCAAGATCATCCGCATTTGGTATCCATGACTCATCCAAATACAGGTTCCTGTAGAATCCTTTAATCGCTTCTCTCCAATCATTTTCAATTCCAAATTTAGTCCCACTCTCAAGAAGTTTATCCATGAAATTTCTTGTGATGATAATTGATTATCTTACAAAAGAATTTAGTGTTTCCATTTTCCTTTCTCTAATCCAAAAAATTTTACAACATTGGGCAAAAGCAATCTCCCCCATAAGCATCCCATGAGCATATCCAACTTAGCTAATTGTCTTCTCTCTCCTCTTGCCTCCAAGAGACAATAGGTAGATATTTGTCCTACAAAGCTCCTCAACATCAAAGCTAACTTTTTAATCATACAACACCTTCTTTGTCTCTAACATCCATACTTTGGGCCATAAGCTTCTTTTAACAAAAGCAACCTTCTTGGAAACTGTGAAGCTTGCGAAGCCTAACATATTTAACTCCACCCACCAAGAACAAGCCAAATCTTTGAACCTTGCTACCTTAAGCCATTTGTTTTCAAAGTAGACTGGGGTGGCCAACCACTTTAAACCATGGAGATCAAGGCCATCATGGGGGTGATCCAAGGTGACCTAAGGCAAGATGATGTTGCACAAGAAGTTTTTAATTTGAAATAAATTTTCTACCAGAAACATTTTTGCAATTATTATGATTATTTTGTATTTTAGATTTACTTGGATTATCTAGATAATTATAGTAACTCTGTTTCTTTGAGAAAATATTTTTAAATATTACAACTTAAATATTGTAACTTAAAAATAACAACTCAGTTTCTTTTTAGGTAGACTTTAAAAATTACAGGAGCTAAATTTTTAGAGTATAAACTTAGTAACTACCAACAAAGAAAAAAGATAATGACGAACTAAAAATTTCTTTCTTAGGAGTTATTCCTTGTTCCCTCTCTTTTGTATTCATTCTTACTATTATTGTTCTATCCAACCTATCTTACTCAGTTTATTTCTCTCTATATTTATTCACCTTGATCTCTACTTTTATTCCTCTGTTTCTAAGCTAAATTCATTCTCTTTTTGAAATTTTCGCGGGACAAGTTAGTTACCTCGCAACTCGCCCTGCATCAAGACATCTTTTTAAACAAATTCAAATACAAGACTTCAAAACTAGAACTTAAAAGAAATATTATTAATTCTTGAGAAAGTTGCACGTTCTAAGATTGGCAGAGAAACTATCAGTCTAAAGGGGAAAGGCTAACTCTTATTAAGAGTACACTTTCCAAATTACCGATCTATCTTTTATTTATCCTTACTATTCATGTGAGTGTGGCAAGACAATTGGAAGCTACTCAATTCAAATTCCTCTAAGGTGATGTGGATGACAAATAGAACTTTCATCTTGCTGAATGGAAATTAGGCAAGGAACCATCCATAAGCGCGGTCTTGGTATTAGGTCAATGATTGAGATGAATAGAGCCTTACAAGAGAAGTGCCTCCAAATATTCATGAAGGAAAGGGTTAAGATTGTGGAGACGAGTGATCAAAGCCAAGTTTAGCACTAATAATAAGGGGTTGTTTACTTGACCTTCATCTAGATCTTGCAGAGTCAGCCTATGGAAGAAAAGTGGCATGGGAAGAAATAAGTTCCAAGAAGTTGCAGCTTGGAAGATCATATTATCAGCCATAGAGTGACGTTTTGGTTGGATGGGGAATGGTATTTTAAGGCATCACTTCTCTAATATCTTTTCTTTGGCACATAACAAGGAAGCTACAGTGACTTCCATTTCCAACTTGGAGGGGAATGAAACATGGCCTATTGAGTTGGCTAGAAACTTACATGCTTGAGAAGTTGACGAATATGTTGCTTTGTTCCAATATCTATTCCAAGGGGACCCTTTGATATTGGATGAATTGTGGTAGAAATTCAATTAGAACGGAATATTCTAAGTTAAGTCCCACTACATTCATTTGATGGCTAATGGTATTATTTTCAAAAACTTCACATTGCCTTCTTTGCATGGGAGGCGGCGCATGGATGTATCCTCATTAAAAGTAACTTGATCATAAGAAACAAGATCATGCAAATGGATGTTATTTATGTGAAAGAGTAATAGAACTAGTCCATCTTCTCCTATGATGTTCTTTCTCCTACCCATGATAGTGTTTCGCTCGCAGCCTCTTAGAGGGAATTGGACTATGGCTAGTTCAATAAAAGATGAGGTTTGGGCTTGAAAGAGCATTCGTTTAGGTAAGAGTTAAAACAAGAGTCCTAGCCTTATCCATTTGGCAATTCTTTGAGTCATATGGAAAGAAAGGAAAGAAAAAGCTTTTGAGAACATAAAACGGTCTTTTAATAAATTCAAATATTCTTGGTTTCAAACTCTAATTGTTTGTATCAAAGGTCATCTCCTCCATTCTTGTGAGGATTATAGGGGACTTGATTGACTCCTGATAGAATCTTAAAGTTTTTATATATGGCTTGCACCAATTAGTGCTTTCAATATTTGTTAAAGAGATGATAAATTAGATTAAAGAGTATAAGGCAAAATTAAACCCTTTTTTATTTATTACAATTTTTTTCTTCTATCAAAAAAATATGTATATTTAGGGCTACAATATTCAATAGAATACACAAAAAAGAATCATTTTTAACATGATATCAAAGCTCTAGGTTAAGGACACCCTAGAGTTTTTCCAAAGAAACCTAAACCTAGATTCGCCCTTCATAGCCAACCTAAATAAAACAAAAGCCTGAAAAACATCTCTGTTTAAGCCAGAACAATTAGCCATGCCACTCTGTCTTGCAAGATCTATTCTCAGCCTGCCATTGCTCTGTTTTGCGAGCCCTGTTTCAATCATCACTACTCTGTTTCGGCTCTGTTTTTGCGCACCTTACCTACTGCACACCTGCTCTGTTTTGTTCCTCTCCCATGTGCTCTGCTCCAACCGTAAGTGCTCTGATTTGTGCTCTCTTTCTGCCTTGTTTCGGTGTACAAGTTTGCTCTGTTTCCACATACAGATCTACACTATTTCCAAGCTCTGTTCTGATAAATTTTTGTGCACACATCAACTCTGTTTTGGCATAATTATGCTCTGCTCTGTTTCCATGTTCAGTTCCACTCTGTTTTGCGCAAAGTTCCTCTCTGCTTTTGCGTAGATCTATTTTTTCATAGCACTATTCTGCTCGGTTTTTAGTGACTTGTTATCTCTGTTTCCAAGCTCTAATCAGCCGCTATTTCAATCGGTCTTAATTGCCGGAAACCAAAAGATGTCGGAAGTAACATCCCAAAATATTAGAAGAATATATTCCCCACACGAAATATTCTATCAGCGAATTTCAGTTAATCCAGCTAGCTTATGATTCTAAGAACAAAGATTATTTAAATTGATCCCAATTAATCAAGACCACCTTCAAAGGTAATGGTAAATCTAGCCATCTCTTAGATTCCGAACCCCAATCCGGAGAGTCCACATTTGATGCGTAAAACAAAGAGGATTTTATAATTATGGCATGGCAATGGAACTCCATGGACCTAAAAATAAGCAAGACAGAGATGTTCCTGCCACACAATTAAACCATTGTGGAATACAATAAACAAAACCTACTCTAGAGTGAATGATGCCACACAACTTTATAACCTAATGGTCAAGACATGGTCCGCCAAACAAATAAACAAATCAGTAAATAAATATCCAAATTTATAATAACTAGTGGCAGGAACTGATTAGTACCACAGCATGACCATAAATTACTGTAAAAGATGAAACCAGATTTAAGAAATTTATAGAAAAAGATCGTTATTAATTTTTGGCATGACTAAATCTTGAATACAATCAAGTATGAATTTAGATTTTGGGAATAGAGAAAATATCATCACTCAATGAGGTAATTTTCATTATAACAAAGGAAGAAATTGGAGAAGGGTTATGCTAGAACCTCGCTTCATTGATAGATCAACCCTGATCTCACGAGATTCTAAGCGTCGTTAGAAATCAAAGGATGTGAGTCACCATGAGAACTCAACTTGAGGAATAGATAGCAAAGGCATTCTTCGGTGAACCTTTTGTAGTATTAAAAAAAATCAGACACCAAAAACTCTCTAATCAGTTTCATATGGCTAACCAACAGGAAGAAAAACCACCTACCAATCTCACTGCCTTCAAGGCCAAGATTGAATGACCACCATAATTTAATGTAAAAAATGTCATTTTTCATGGAAATCTAGAAACAGAAATCTAGATAGATATCCCACGAAATTTTGACAAAAAAATACCAAATAAGGCATGTAAACTAAAGAAGCATTATACGGACTAAAACAATCGGCAAGAGCATAGTTTGGTAAGTTCACAAAGGTAATAATAGATTTAGAATTTAAGCAGACTCAAGGAGATCACACTCTATTCAGCAAACACTCAGAGATAGAAGAAGTTACAGCTCTCCAAGTGTACATTGATGACATTATCATAACAGAAAACGATAAAAATGAAGAACTGACATTATGACAAGTGTCTGGCAAAAAAATTCGAAATCACAAAACTAGGCAAGTTGAGCTATTTTCTGAAAATTGAACTTATCCACTCTAATTTTGGGATTTATATTTCTTAACAGAAATATATTCATGATCTGCTAAAAGACACTGACAAGCTAGAATGCAAACCAGCTATCATTTTCATTAATTCTAATCATGAATTAGGAATAGCAGAGAAAAAAAAACCAGTAAAAGAAGAAATATATTAGAAATTAGTTTGAATATCGATCTACTTATCCCATATGAAACCAAACATCGCCTATGCAGTAGGTGTCATAATTCAATTCATACATAATCCGAGAAAAGTGCACCTACAAGAAGTCTATAAAGTACTATAATACCTAAAAAGATAACCAAAAAAAAAAGAATTATGTTCAAGAAGAATGACAACTTGCTCCTAAAAGCCTATACTGATAGAGATTATGCATGAAGAGTTGTACACAGAAAATCTAGTACAGACTACTATACTGTTCTTAAAGACAATCTACTTACCTGAAGAAATAAAAAACAAAAAATAGTTGCAAAGTCAAGTACTAAATCAGAATTCCGAACAGTGACACAAAGGGTACATGAACTAATATGGATGAAAATAAATTTAAAAGACTTTAGAATCAAGTGAAAAAACCTAATCTACCTATATTGTCATAACAAGTCAACTATAAACATCTCACACAATCTGGTGCAACACGATCGGATCGAACACATCGAGATTGATAAGCATTTTATCAAAGAAAATTTTACAACAGCCGAATATGAACCTCATACATGTCTACCATTTCTTAATTGGTAAATGTGTAACTAAAGACTTAAGCAATCTAACATTCCAATCTCCTATTGGCAAGTTGGGAATAGACAACATCTACTCTTTAACTTGAGAGGAAGTGTTAAAAAGAGAGTAAATTAGATTAAACGGTATAAAGATAAATTATAATTTATTATAAATTTCTATTTCTGTTCTAAAAAACCTATATATATATATATATGATTCTAATATTTAATAGAAAATATATAACAAAAACAAAAAACCATTCTTAACAATATCATATTTTATATTTTAAAAAAATTGAATTCTTTCTAGGGTTGGACCAAGTCCATTAGCTACCATTAAGAGAATGATTAACAAGGCCAACAATTCACCAAGTCCCTGAATTCTCTATGCAAGTTATGATGATATTCCTGGAAGACCTCCCAAAATCAACAAAGACCATTGAAATCTCCTTGTTGAGCCAAGGAAGCTCTCATTTCTCGCAACACACTCAAGATCCTCCCACAACATAGTTCTCTCAAATCCTTCTCTCTTTCAAAATATGGTTGCCACCTCCTCTAGACCAATCAAACTCTAGCACCTTAAAAACGAATAGAAAATAAGGTGATATGTCATTCTACCACTTTACAGGAGATTTCACCTCTCCTATCTAGATTTTTGGTGTCACCTCATCCTGTTGGAAAAGGAAAAACAAAAAGAAAACTTACAACCAGAGTACAAATGATATCAAACATTTACTCTTCCACCAATAGGTGAGTCTGAAGTCTTTTGTTGCTTGGGATGGTCCTTCATTAGGAAGCTTTAAAAGAATCTAATAATGATACTTGTAATGCTTTAACTATTTGTGGAGGTGTCCCTAGTCCATTTGTTGTAGGTTGCTAGTGGAGAAAGAATTTCTTGGGAACAACTTTTGTGATGATTAAAGATTTAAGCGAACAATAACCAAGATGTAACTTAAGAGCTTTTCTATTAGAGTGATAGACCACCAAATAGTGAATGAACAACCGTAATTGAAATGATCTCTTTGTAGATTTTTGGGATAGTACAACGGAAAGATATATATATATAGAGAGAGAGAGAGGGAGGGAGAGAGAGAGTCAAGGGGAGGGTAGGGAGAAAGAGAGGGACTTTATGCTCTTTTCAGAGGGGAGAAGTTGATAGACCTTATACAGTTTTGTCTTATAACTAGA